TGTTAGGAGAAAGCTGTAATCCCTCCACGGAGAGGTGTGCGTGTATGTGTGTACGTGCCCTCAGTCCCTAGAGGTCCTGTCTATTTATAGGCGAGAGCAAAGGGTCTACGATAAGATCTTAGGAGATTTCCTCCCATCAAGGTTATCTCCTAAGGAATCGTTTCGTAAGTGGAGTTCTATTGTATTGGCAAAAATATTTCAACGGAACCCAATTAGTTATATTATATATCTTATCTAATTATACAATGTCACAAAATCTAATAGAAGCGACCGACGGCCATGACTGAGACCACCACCGCAGGATACTAGGTACAATCCTTGAATGCCTCCATGACATCTTAGGGAGCCTAGTCGATGAACAGGCCTTTGATCGGCAATGGCGGGGGTCTGAGGAACTTCCTCGGCACTCTTTCCACAACCAGCGGCCTGTCCGTCGGGCGACGATCGTACCGGAGGAAATACGTGTGGCCATTGCCTGAGAGGACCCGGGCGGTGCTCCATGAATGGGAACCTTCCTTCCACTTGTAGACCTCCACCGAGCTTCCCTTGGACACCCTCATGGCTATCGTGTCGACGTTAGAACGAATGCGAAGTCTCAAGAACCTATCTGATGACAATGAACTGAACAAGAAATATATGTTAAAATCTAACACGAGGATAATACTTCATCATGTTTCCTAATTAGACTCTCCTTTCAAAAGCCGTGTTATCTTAGAGCCAACATAGCGCATTTTCATTTAAACTGGTATTTTATGTTGCGATCGCCTTAATTACTCCTCCGTGGTGCTTTTTCGCCATGTTACTGCCCAGTTATTGGTTTATTCGGTGGGATCCATTTGATGTCATAGGCACAGGTGTCATTATGAATTTTCTTTAATCATACATTATTTTCATAAATATCTTCGGACAATTCATTTAATGGCGAGCCCTATGCTTCAGTTACAACCCATACATGACAAATGGAGGTGAAATCTGAGAAAAGAAATGACATGGTTTATATATAGCATGTATCGGACTTTGAGATCTCAGACTCTTCCTGTGCCGTAAAGTGAGATGGTGGCTAGAACACCGGCATGGATGGCGCCTGAACACAGCAGCTGAGTGCCGCTCAAGATGATCGTGAGCGTTTCCAACGTCCTCTGTCGAACATGTTTGACGGTAAAGAAGCGTGCAATATTGAAAGACAAATCGAGCAACGGCTATGGCCTGAGCTGAAAGAAGCTACTTACCAGGCTCGAGCTCCTCCAACCGATGGTGATCTCTTTGCATGCCAACCTGCAAATTTCAATGACGATGGTGACAGCAATGTTGTTGCATCCGCTGCAACTTCGGGGATGAAGTCTTGCTTACCCCATGGCCAGAAGAGTGAGGCCCCAAGTGATGACGGAGGCGGCTGCAGCTGATAATAAGTTGGACGCACTCCCATCGGCGACGTCTTGCAAGCCGGTAAGCGAGGTGGCGACTCCGACGACTCCGGAGATGAGGGAGAAGATGATGAAGAATCCGGTTGCCAGATTCCCGATCGGGTAGTAGATCGGGAACAATCGAGCAGGCACCGATAAACCGGAAGCTGCAGTCGATCGGACACACATTTATCAGTGCTCAGCGTAGGAACTGAGCTGTGGAATGTGGTGCATGCAGTTACCTGCACGAGGTGTCTCCTCGATGCCATAGTTGAGAGCCCAACCGGCGACTGCGGCGACGATCGCGTACATGAGGAGGTTGATGAAGAGAAGGAAGAGGGCAAGGGATTTGGGGCTCTGAGATGCCATGACGGGTCGAATCAAGAAGGGAACTCGCCGTTGATCGGATCTGCAAGACCATGATGCATATTTATATGAATACTTCAATGCATCCCAGGTTGATGAAGAGAAGGATAGCATTCCTTGCTGCCTCGAGGGGTTGCTTCCTTTGCTGTTGCAACACGCAAAGCATTTCCTTTTTGGACGAGTCATCCAAATCCATCTGAGCCCAATGCAAGGAGAAAAATTGGATTGGAGCGGATCGGCTTCGTCTTCGTCTTCGGCCCAGCCTTGATTTAAACGGGTTGGATTAACCTGACCCGTTAGCAGCACGACGCCTCCGATCGAGACTGACACCGACTGACTTCACGACTTCATTTACGACAAGGGATGCGTTGCGGCGGTAAAGTTCACGCTCCCTAAAACCCTAAGTCACAACGCCTCGTGTCCGGGCATCAAGACTGAGGGGATTGACCTCGAACCCACCATTTCTACTGTGCGTCTGCGGCAAGATCTCCCATTGCTTTCCAATGGCTGCCTCGGCCGCTCTGAGGAACCCTAAATCGAGGCGACTCCTCCGCTTCTCGTCCGTCTCCCCTCTGCTCTACTCATGCTGTCGCGGGGCGATCGTCGGCTCGGAGCCGAAGATTTTGACAGACGCGATCCTCGGGAGCGAGTCCGCGGGCGCGCTGTGGTCGAGGAGGTCCATGGCCACCTTCACCCGGACGTAAGATTCGAAATGGCTTGCGTTCGATCTTCTGTATGGTTCTTCATGCGATGCGATCGTGCTTTGTAGTGTGTTCTGCATTTAGATTCCAAGGAGAAGTCTTGATTTCTATTAAGTGTTTACTCGTCAATAATTTGTTGTTTACGAAGTTAGGAGGGATCCATTCAGTCCTGCTCGAGATGGATTTTGACTTGGCCGGAGGGATACATCTGAGTGGAGAAATGTTTTACACTGGAGAGATACATCTGTTACGTTTATATATGGAAAATCTAGAGTCTGAACAAAACACAGATCAACTGTAAAGCAGTTTATCTCAGCAACATAGAACTTGCCTATTTCTAACTTTGATTCTACTGATGACCGAGGACAATAAATATTCCTTGACGTGCTTTGAAACCCTATCTAAGGTGCAGATATTTTGTTTGCAATTATTTGAAGCATATGTTTTCTAGTACCATAATGCCCTGGTTTTGCGCTAGGTCCTACTAGTGGCATCTTCAACTCTGCATGCACCTATGACATCCTCTGACCAATTTCTGTGTCGACATCTTAGCTAAACTTAAGCATCTTCTGTTTTGCCTTATCTTAATTTTTGTTGTTTTCCCTATCTTTTTGGTTCTTTTAGGCAGTTAATGCAGTTTGCCATAATTCTTGTATCTCACTGCTTATGATAAGACAACACAAGATTTGTTAGCTCAGTTCTAACTTTTCCTCTTATTATCCCAGGAAACCTCATGTAAATGTTGGTACGATTGGGCATGTTGATCATGGGAAAACTACACTAACAGCAGCAATTACAAAGGTTAGCCAGCCCTTTAGGAGTCCAAATCCCTTACGATTAGTTTTATTTTTGCATTTGATATGATTTTTTTTTAGTATTTAACTTCTTGACATCTCACGTTAAAAATTTTTAAAGTTCTAACTGGTGGTAGCTTGTCATTTTCTTCAGTTTATTGTTGAAAACACAGTTCATTATCATCTTTTTCTCTAGGTTCTATCTGAAGAGGGAAAAGCTAAAGCTGTTGCTTTTGATGAGATCGACAAAGCCCCCGAGGAGAAAGCTAGAGGAATTACCATCGCAACAGTTCGTGCATCCTTTTTCTTCATATGTGTATTTAATCGAATTCTGTTTGTTTATTGTGTATATCTCTTTTCTTCTGCAGGCTCATGTGGAATATGAAACTGCAAAACGACACTATGCCCATGTTGATTGCCCAGGACATGCAGACTATGTTAAGGTTAGTGATTTAAAAAGCGTTAGGCGCCAAAAGGCACCAGAGTCCAAAAACGCTCGAGGCGTTAGGCGCTCGCTTAGGCGCTCGCCCGAGCGAAGCGAGGCGCTAAAATATAAAAATATAATTAATATAATT